CACTGCTTACTTCCCTCCATGTAGATGTAGTTCCATTAAGGACTACACATTGAGTGTGGTTTGTCAACCAGTTATGAATCCATCTGGTGGTGATGCTTTTTACCCCACATTTTTCTAACTTACCAAGAAGTAGGTTGTGGTCTACTTTGTTAAATACTTTACTGAAATCAAAGTATACTACATCCACAGCATTTCACTGGTCCACTAATTTAGTCACTTTGCCAAAGAATGAAATAAGATTTGTTTGGCATGATCTGTTTTTGACAAACTCATCTTGACTTCTGGTTATAACTTTGCTTGCTTCTAGCTGTTCCAGATCTGTTGCTTGATTATTTTCCGGGATCTTCTCATGTATTGATCTCAGGCTGATTGGTCTGTAGTTTCCTGGATCTGTTTCCGCCCCCCCCCCCTTTTGGGGGGGGGGGGGAGATGGGAACCATATCAGCTCTTTTCCAGTCCTCTGATAGTTTCCTGGTGCTCCTGGTGAAAGATATGGTTCAATGGTTTCAAGATCATGTCTGCCAGCACCTTCAGTACTCTGGAATGTAATCCATCTGGTCCTAGTGATTTGAACTTGTCTAGAGTGGACATGTGTTCTCTTACCTTTTTCTTGCCTATTTTAATTTGTATTCTTAATCTGTCTTTTATGCTTCTGTTTTTGGTAGGTTGGCTATTTTTTCTTTTTGCATGAAAACAGATGCAAAAAATGAATTAAGCAGCTCTGCTTTCTCTCTGCTGCTTATCACTTCCTTACCATCTTCTCCCATTAGTGAACTGATTGTTTCCTTGACTTTTTTCTTTTTACATGTTGAAACTCTTTAAAAATTATTTTTGACATTTATTGCAAGTCTTAGTTCATTATGAGCCTTAGTTCTTCTGACTTCATCTTTGCAGATTTGGGCTATATGCTGGTTGGCTGCCTTAGTTATATATCCCTTTTCCATTTATTGTACTTATCCTTTTTTTCTCTTTCGGTTTATTAGAAAGTTCTTCATACAACCATGCTGTTTTCTTATTGGATTTCTTATTTTTCTTTTTCAGTTATATTGGGCTTTTATAATCATATTTTTCAGAGTTTCCCAAGCTTCTTGAGTTGTTCTCCCCTTTAAGATTTTCATCCATGGAATCCTTTCCAAGTTTTCTCTAAGTTTATTATAAATCAGTCTAAACATTACTATTTTTAAGTGCAGATGATCAAATTTAGTGGATATTTATTCAGGGCTCCAATCCAACATAGATGTCATCAACTTGTTTCAAACTTCTGATGGCTGTATGATACTTCTAATATCTCAGAGTTAATAATTGAATGTTGTCCACTTTTATTCACTTTTACAATACTCCACAAAAAACCATTGCTTTCACCTTTCTGATTCTTGTTATAGAAATATCCTTTCTATTCTACCATCTTTTCCAAAATTGAAATTTCTTATTTATTTGAATTTATTTTTTCAATATTCTCCATCCATCTGAATTGTCAGACTTTTATTTTTTATTGATCTTATTGCAGTTTCTTTGATTGACATGAGCTGCCCAGAATTGTTGGCAATCAAGCAATATACAAGTTTAATTTTATTATTATTTTATTGTAATTATTTCTATGTCCAATAAAACTAAGCATTTTGGCTGCTATTACCTTTGTCTCAATATTTTACATTAAATCCAGAGTTCTACTTTCTATGTAGCTTTGCTAATGGGATCTTCTCTTTATTTTCCGCTAACAAAGTGGGGTCATTTCATATCTGTTAACAAAGTGGACTATGTCAAATAGTTTTGACTCCCTTTGTATTTATTACATTTATATCCTACTGCAATCTAGTACCGAGATATATAATTAAAATGTTTATATTAAAAATTTAAATGTAAAAATAAAACATAATAGAAAATATTTTGATCCCAGCTCTCTTAAGTTCTTTTAGTGGTTCCTTGTTCACTATCCAGGTTCCCCAGAATGGAGTTCTGGACACTTATTAGCTTTAACATGTTCCATTCTAGCATGTCAATACAAGAAAAGTAAATCTCATATTTTTATATCTCCATTATACATATTTATGTTAGCTAACGAACCTCATGTACTCTATCTGCCTTTGTTAAAATCTGCAAGGTCATTTGGCTTTTATATTTCCATGGGTGTATTCACTGTACAATGGTGAACAAGACATGTAATACTGCCCTTTACTTCATTTCATTGCTACAAATATATTGATCAGACAACAATCAGTGAAACGAGTTGCCTACAGAAGTTATGGGTGCTCCAATACTGGAGATTTTTAAGAAGAGATTGGACAAGCCTCTATCTGAAATGGTGTAGGTTTCTTGTTTGAGCAGGAGGTTGAACTAGATACTAGAAGACCGCCAAGGTCCCTTCCAAGTCCGTTATTCTGCATTTCCAAATCCTGTTGATGTCAATGGGACTGTAACTTTAAGCAATTTTACCAGGATGGATGGAGAACAGAGCTTACATCTATATAAATAAAAATGTAAATGTTCGTTTGTTCAAAATCTTAAATCTCCGAAAGTTCTTCACCGATTGCTTTGAAATTTTGACACAACGTTGCATTTGAATACATGCGCGTTTTTATATACCTACTATTATATAAATGTCACACCTGTGACAGGTAAAAACATGCTTTTTTGAAAAACAGCGCCATCTGTTGGACGTAAAAGCTTTCTCTTTTCTTTTCCATTTAACCAGACTGAGCCACAGCGACGCGTGGTTGGGTACAGCTAGTTTAAAATACATTTAGCCATACAGTAAAAGCATGTATTAGAATTAGAGAGAGCTAATTTGATGTAGTGGTTAAGTCATCAAGCTAGAAACCGGGAGACTGAAATCTAGTCCCGCCTTAGGCACAAATCTTGGGCTGGTCACTTTCTCTCAGCCCTAGGAAAGAGGCAGTGGCAAACTTTTTCTGGGGGGGGGGAACCTTGCCAAGAAAACTGGAAGAGCTTGTCCAGGCAGTCTGCGAGAATCGGACACGATTAAAGGGGGGAGAGATATATATCAACATAGTTAAGTAAATCCTACTACACATGGTTTTATAATAGAATTAAAATGAGAAATTACTTTTAAACTTGTACAACTTTTTTTGCAATGTATGTGTTGTAATCAATTTAAAAAGAGAAAGCAAGTTTCTGCAATTACAACCCCAGTTCAAACCATCCTAGGATGGAGAGAGAGAAAGAGGAAATCAACGTACTTTCTAATTTTATCCCCCGGCGGAAGTCCCCTGATAAAGCAACTTCAAACACGGAAGTGCTTTTTAAAGCACACTGAGAAAAATACAAGGAAGAGTAACACTACTCATCGACTTCCGAGTTCCTTTAATATCCCGGAACAATGGATTACCGATAGAAACGACAGAAATCTGCTATAGCTTTGTAAATTACTACGTAGCTCGTCAATCTACACCCCCCTTTCAGTTTGCAAAGGGTAGGAATCCTTGTATGATGTCCTCCGTTTTTTCCTTCGAGATATTTAAAAAGCTGTTGTTTCCAGCAAAAAAAAAAAAAGTTAGCTCTAAATCAATAACTCTTCTCTCCGCAGAAATCCCTTTTCAGGATTCGTTCTCCCTTCCGCCAAACAAGAATGGGACAGAGTCTTAAGCAAACGGGATGTTTCGACTCCAAACAATGGGATGAGCGGCTCTCTATAACTTCGTCTCTATGTGAAAATGCGCGTATCGTCCTCCTTTTCTGAGCTGAAGCCAGCCCTCTTGGCTCTTGAATCTCGCGCGCGGTTTCAACGAAAGCAAAAGTTCCTGCATTACAATAGATTAAAGACCCGTTAGAGAAGCTGGTAAATATTTCGTTTGCCCTTCTGCTCTCCGAAAAACAATAGGAATGTCTGGCGAACTTTGCAGCAGGCAAGTATATCCTTTATAGTTTCGTAGGCCTACAGCCCTGCTTTTCTGCTGCCTAAACTTCACTCTGTCGTGCCCTTGCGCAGCAGTGCTCTATATGGGGGAAAAAGCGTTTTTAGATATCTGTATAAGACTGTTCGCCAAGTAAAAGCAGCAAAATACTGTTGCGATCATCTTCTTCCTGCCTTTCGGCTTCTTTGAAGCAGCCTTCCCCCCCCGTAGCTGTCCGTCAGACGTATTTGTACTACAGCGCCCATTATCTTTGCCGAGTCTTCATGCAGACTGGATTATGGGACTTGAAAAAAAAATGGAGCGTGGCAGAGAACCAACATTTTCTATTCGGGTTGTCCTTAATTCATTAGGTTGCAGCGTATCTCGACGTGTGATGACCTATTTGTATCTGCAGAACATTCTGGGGTATTTCTGAGTACATCTTGTTGGCACCTTTAGTAGTTTGGCAGACATGATTCTCTCTAGATTTGAGTGATGAACCGTAACCTCAGGAAATAGACTCATAGCTTGCTGTATCATCCCTATAGTGGCTGCATTAGTACTTTAACTTGTACACACCATGATTGCCTTTTTCAGTCTGTATGAGCCCTGATATATTAAAGAGAAACTCCTTGGGGTCTCAGTTTTGAAAGGTGAGAACTGAAGCTGGAAGGCACTGCTTCTTAGCGGTAATGCCAGTGTTGGAGAATGATCTTCCTGTGGAAATCAGGTTAGCCCCCACCTAGGGTGAGTTTCAGAAAGCTCTTAAGGCTTATTGGAGGATAAATGAGGCATCAGATTTTAGTCTTTATTTTCATGAATTTGATGTGAGCCTTTCAGAGTTGTCCTTTAAGATGCATGGCCATAAAAAAAACAAAACAATAAACTAAAAACTGAGCTTTTTAGACTGTTTCAATGATGCTTATCTATTGTGTCATTTACTGTTTTACTTTTCCTAATTTTTTTATTGTTATACCAGATATTAGCCATTTGTGTTATGATTTAGTTTATTTTTGTTGTTCATCCTGTTGTAGATGTTTTAATATTTTAATCCTACAGAGGATGTGGAAGGTATTTGTGTATGTACTTCTGAGACATGTCAGATATAACTTCAATAAATAAATATTTTTTTCCCAATAGATTATCGGCAATAGATTGAACAAGAAATATCTTGGAAATTCGCTGGTTTAAAGGTTGCATCTACCTACCAAAAAGGAGCAATATTTTATAAAAATAATCTAAAACTGCTTTCACTGCTTCTGAAAAGAAATGAGCTCATCACACTGAACCCAATGGTTTGAAAGATTCTGAATAGCGCCAAAGCTTCCATTGCTTTTGATGCTTGATTATTTTATTTCCTCAAAACATGATAATCCAGTTCCCATGGAAGAAATGCTTCCCATTATATTATGTCCTCAAAGTTCCAGCTGCTGGCTTCAAAAGTTCAAAGGAAAGAGGGCTTATCCTACAGTCTGTGTCTCAGGATGTTTACCAGAATTTAGCATTAGAGGATTGGATCCATGATAACATGGATTTAGAAAAGAGACATGTTCTTCTCCTCTGGAGAAATTCTTCTGCTGTAGTGATCGGTCGGCATCAGAATCCCTGGCAAGAATGTAACCTTGGAGTCATGAGGCAGAAGGGGGTAAGGCTTGCTCGAAGAAGAAGTGGAGGAGGTGCAGTTTACCATGACACAGGCAACATTAATCTGACCTTCTTCACTGACAGAAAAAAATATGAAAGAATTGAAAATTTAAAACTAGTTGTCAAAGCTTTGAAGTCCCTAAGACCCCAGCTAGATGTTCAGGCTACTGAGAGATATGATCTCTTGTTAAATAAAATCTTTAAAATTTCAGGAACTGCTGCAAAATTAGGAAGAACAGCTGCTTATCACCACTGCACTTTACTGTGCAATACTGATAAATTGGTTCTAACATCTGTGTTAAAGACTCCTAACAGTGGAATCCAAAGTAACGCCACACCAAGTGTGCCTGCATTAGTGAGAAATCTCTATGAAGAAGATCCCACATTAACTTGTGAAATGCTTATGGAAGCCATTGCTGGCGAATATGCTTCACATCATCATGCTGAAAACCATACCCATGTCATAAATCCAGCCGATGAAACAGAATTCCCTGGAATTAACAATAAAGTCATAGAATTAAAAGCCTGGAATTGGCTATATGGAAAAACACCAAAGTTCAAAATCAGCACATCCTTTAATATAGGACACGAGGAATCCAATGTTGAAATTCAGATAAATATGGATATAAAGAATGGTAACATTGAAGCTTGCCAAATAGATGTGCCTCAGAACTGGCTGCCACTGGATGTGTGTGTGGAACTCGGGAACAGCCTGATTGGCAACAGGTTTTGCCCAAATGAAAGCACTGCCATGGCAACTGCTTTGCTGAGAACTTGGGCAGATTCTACATTACACAGCAAATTGCATATCTTATGTGAGAAGATTGTAACATTAATGTAACTTTTATGTGATGAGCTGGATTCTTGGATATCAAGTTAGTAGTTTAACACAAGATTGTCATGTATGATTTTAGAAGAGTTCAGTGAATGTAAACAGATTTAATGTTACATAGTTACATAACTACTGAACAAAAATAACACTTGAATATAAAGTTCCTTTTTTTAAAGGGAGATAGTTAATTGATACTGCAGTCTTCTCAAATGTGAACTCCAGAGTTTAATGGAACTTGAAGTAACTTACAATAGAGTTGCAACCAAGAATGCAATTATGATAATAATAATAATACACTATTGGGTGGGGGAAAATGTGGATAGAAAGCTATAACTAATAACCGTTTTCAAATTCAATATATTACTGGTCCAAACACCCAACTTATGCCACATTTGAACTGATGTTGAAACATTACTCCTGTTATAATCAACAAAATTTAAAAGATGTCTTTTGTGCTGGATAAGAGTTGCCTCAAGGTGAAATAGGTGGCAAATAAATCTAATAACATGTTAGCAACCTTATGAAAGGTTATTTGGCTTCTTTTCCTTTAAATTACTTTTCACCAGTTCTTACTTCACCATTCTAGTAAGAACAGAAGATCTGTATTGGGGTGAAAAGTACATTTTTTAAAAAACAAGCCTTTATTTCAAAAGTTTTATATTCTTTTGATTAATTGACATAAAATTTATTGACATAAAAATTAAAAAACTAAAAGGTATACAAATTATAAATTTAAATATACAATATTATTAAAAAAAACCTGTACCCAGTAACATTCAAAAGGACAAGATTTCAAGAAATGCAAATTTCCCAGACATACTGGATCAGATGTTTAGATATGATCATTTATTTGATTCCAGAGTTATCAGTATTGTATAATAATTTTATTGGAGTAAAAACGGGGGTAGATTCTGAAGAGAGAGAAAAAACTAATTACAAGAATGGGCATGTTTCAAAGCAGATCTTAGGAATGGTACATCAAGACTAGAAAGGTTCTTTAAAGAACCCATAGGTGGAATATGAGCTGTAAATTGCAAGCATGTACAATATTTTGAAAGTTCAGAGGAATACATGGCTCAGCTGACGGGCCATGGTGTAATTTTCATCCATGCTGACTGGATAGATGTGTGTATGGTAGTGGCATGGTTTTTGTAGCTTGCCAAAAAGAAAAAAAAAAGCAGGTGGGCTCTGTTGTTGAAAGTACATCAGCATGCCATATGAGCTAAGTGACTGCTGTGTAACTGCCCAAAATCCTCTCCATTCAGCACCCTAATGTTCAAAGTATCTGGCAGGTACCTTTCCCCCCCTATATATATAATAGCTTGATATAACTTTAAGAGATTGTAGCTAGTTCTGTTTTTAGACAGCTAAATTCAAAAGTAGAGAAAGTCCTTGGCTTATGATAGCAATTGACTGGAATTGCTATTGCTAAGTGATGCAGTCATAGACAGCAGTTTTGCAGGGCTGCCATTAAATGAGGATCATTAAACAAACAGTTCACATGAACCACAACTTCCAGCCAGCTTTCCCTCTGACTTTGTTTGTGGAAAATTGGCAGGGAACATTGGAAATCACAATCACATGACCACAGCTCCCTGAGACAACATAATCCCGAGCGGGGCATCAAGTGCCCAAATGGCATTCATGATTGTGGGGACACTGCAACAACTAAACTATGAGGGAACCATTTGTTCAGTGCTGTCGTAACTTGAATGAACCTGTATCTGTTTCTAAGTTCATTTCGGCTACTTATTCAATGTAATGATTCCAGTCATTGCAATTTTAAAATATATTCAGTAGTGTTGTTTTAATTTAATAATTCTTTCAGTATTTTTTACCTGATGTCAGTTGAGGTAAAAATATTGGTTTTCCTTTAAACAAAATTTAACTATTGAAGCCTCTTTTAAGGATATATTGAGATAAACGTATCTTTTTACTTAAACAAAAATTTATTTTATAAAAAAGCACATTAAATATATATCTTACAAGGATTTTTATCTAGAAAATGAGTGGTTTCAGAAGGAATCATGTTTTCTTTGTGTACTTATTGTGAAAGATGTCCACAGTAGTTTCGTGACAAGGTCTCAAATCAAAGTCACAATATCCAAGGCAAAAACGACCCTGTAAAAATATTTTTTTTTCTTAGCAAAAAATTCAGGAACTCTGTAAAAAAAAGAAAACAAAAACAAAATCCCTTACCTGTGGTTTTTTAAAATAATCAAGGCCTCTTCCGATTTTAAACATCCATCCATTGTTGAATCTGTGTTTTAAATACAAGAATATAGAAGCATAATATTCAAAAATATAAACATGGCAAGAGTATGTTTGCAGATAATTATATCTGATAGTTTAGGAAAAATATGTATATTTAAAAGATATTTTAATTGCCTTTTAAAATTAATAGATATAACATTAGATTTCAGTTTGGAAATCTGGCCTATCCTAGGCACAACTATTTTTCTCACAGGCATATAAATATATATTGAGATAGAAAAATATTTTTCCCATGAAAATTGATTGCCAAATGCTATTAAAGCAGCATTATTATAACTATCACTTTCAATCTGTCTTTCTGTTTTAACAGATCTGAAAACTTTTAATACAGTAATGTATTACACACACAAACACAAATTTGTTAATAAAGAGCAGCAAACATTTTAAGTCTGTAAAGTCTTTTGGAATGTTGTGAGCATGTTATGGATGCTCTCACAGAATTACTGCCCATGGAAGGCATCTACATTTACAAAATACATGATTAGGGTCAACAGATGAGGACTGCAAAACTCTGTCTAATAGTCAATAGATGGTAGCAAAAAGATACAGTATTGTTTTTGTAGCTGAAATCCTATTATGTACAAGAAAACAAACTTCTGCAGTTTTTACCTGTCAACTCCCAGCTAACCAGGATGCCCCAGTATTTCAAAATGGATTGGGGCATTATTGTAAATGAAGCTGAAGTTAAGGACTTATGCTTTGTTTTTAAGCTCATTATGTTTTGTTTAGATTCTTTCAATTAACAATTAGAAATGGTGGAAATGTTTCTGAATACCCTGAGGCCTATAGACATCTACTGTCTATCCATATTTTAGAAAGTACAATATTAATCAAAATTTAGTACAATATTTATATTTTTTACTATACAGTAATTTTACAAATCACCAACCTAATCTCTCGATCATGTATTGAAGAAGAGTATGATATATCCAGTGTAATGCCAAAATCCCTTAGAGACTGTTGTATTTCTTCTAAGGAACCCATCTGTTGATTCTTTCCATGACCCTGTTAAGATATTTTATAATTTAAACTTGAATAGACAATTGAAACCTTGTTAATTCATAATTCTCTAAAAAACATTACTATTTTTAATTTTTAATTAGGCCACCTTAACATCATGTTTTCAACCCAAATCTACAAATTATCCAATGAAGAGAAATCTGTATGAATTATTATTTTTCTGTGTAAATGATAACTTGTAAGAAAACCCTTAAGATTCAAAATCTTAAAAAACGATGCAGTAAAAGTGCTACACTCAATTTGCCAGCAAATTTGGAAAACTCAACAGTGGTCACAGAATTGGAAAAGATCAGTTTACATTCCAATTCCAAAGAAAGGCAATGTCAAAGAACATTCAAACTATCGCACCATTGCACTCATTTCACATGCTAGTAAAGTTATGCTTAAAATCCTACAAGCTAGACTCCAGCAGTATGTGGATCGAGAACTACCAGAAGTACAGGCAGGATTTCGAAGAGGCAGGGGAACTAGAGATCAAATTGCCAACATACGCTGGATCATGGAGAAAGCTAGGGAGTTCCAGAAAAACATCTACTTCTGCTTCATTGACTATGCTAAAGCCTTTGATTGTGTA